TGTCTCTGTTCGGGCCACCTTTGTTTTAATGCTGTTTTTATAACCACGTAATCTTCATGCAGACAGTTTATGCACCCGATTTTATCACCAGATCGTACTAACCGTGTTTAGTGGCTTTATCCACTCGTACGTTAATGAGTCCGGCATCAAAGTAGCGATGAAAGTTTTAAATGTTTTCTTCGTTTCTAATCATGCATTTACTAAAAAGAAAGATCCATGAAATGTAATATCCATGAAATGTAAGTCGATCCATGATCCATGAATCCATGATAAAGATCCATGAAATGTAAGTCGAAAATGTAAATATCAAAATCATGGCTTGGAGTGACACTCGATTTAAACTGTCATATCAGCTCAAGTAATTCTAAACAGAAGTAACCGACGGAGAGTTTCTGGAGCTGACACTCGTTTTCTATGAAAATCTGCTAGTTTCATCTTACTTGAGCTATTCGTAGGAATACAATGGCTGTCGGTACGAAAACTGCAATTGCGGCACATGTTCGCTGTAAGTAAATATGTTTAAAATTATCTTACTTCGACTCCTATTCCGACTTCCTAAATGCGCAATAAATTTACATTTTCTAAACAAGACTAAGGTAAAATGAAAATGTGTCAGTTAAACAAAAAAATAACAAATAGACTTTTAAAAGTAAAATTGTATTTCTCAAAATCCTTTAAATATTAATTTAAGGCCTATTGTTATTCTTATGTGCCCTTGGATTTCAAAAATATTCATTCTGTGTTTTAATCTTCATTAGTTATTTACTGTTACATACCAACTCATCTCTTTCAGTTTTAATTTTTCACGTTTTATCTTAATTGACAAACGAGAATCACAGTCTTGCATACAATTTTGAACTGACAAGATATTTTTTACATTCTTTTCATTGGTAATTTTATATTTGTATTTATTTATATATTCTAAACAAATATGTTTTATATTTATAAGGAAAAATATATATTTAAGATAAATGTAGAAAACAATTCTAAAGAACAGAAAACATTATATAAGTATCTCGTTCCCAGGGAAAACCATTAGATGAAAAAAAAAGTCAGAAGTAATTTTATTGTAATAACATAAACAAACAAAATGTGCAAAGGGCGTAAAATACCAATCAAAAATAAATAAAAAATGTACAACTAAATAAATAAATAAAATATTTAAAAAAAGGGGAAAAGAAAAAAAAAGATTATATATATATATATATATATATATATATATATATATATATGTCGCTTCAGCGAAATTGTTAAGGTTTACTATGACACTGCAGTTTACCAGTACGCCCATGAATTCACTCCCGCTAGCACATTTTTTTTTCTTTCTTTAGTTTATTATTAAACATCGTTTCCTTCGTACTTATGTCACATAAAATTCAACAACAAAATCACAAAATAATTAAGAGCATCATACATATTTAAAGTTCCAGATTACAGTGTTAAATGTTGCCCTTATTTTTTTCAGCCTTCATTCAGTTCATCATATCAGTATTCAGTTCTCTTAAGAAAATAAATTTAAAAACATTTTCGTCTTTTGTTATCAATACTTTATCTTTTTAACTTTATTTATTAACACTTTCTTTGCGCTTTCGCCACATATACTTCAACAGCAAAATCACATATTTGAAAACAGCATATGTTTAGAATTTCAGATAAAGTGGTGCCATATATTCTTTATATTTGTTACATTATTGTTTTAGAAAATAATCCATAGCGATAACATTTGGGGAAACATACTTTTATTTGTGCTGCCATGTACTTTTTATATTCGTTGTATTATTATTATTAAAAATTACATGGCTATAAGATTTGGTGGTGACATCTTTTTATTTGAAAAGTAGTATAGATACAAAAGTGATACCAACCCAAAAGTGAGGATATAGACTAATACCATCTTTGGTGCTGTGGTGTTCATTTTAGTTAGAAATACAATAATTTAACACATTATACATATTTAGCTCATTAATGGAGCTGAGTAATGAGACCGCATTAAATGAAAGGAAAAAAATCGTGGAACTGACATTGGTTTATATCACTTGTAATACGACTCTTCTATCTTAATGCGAGCAATGGCTCGATCAGATGACGAAAGGAAAACGTAGTAGAGGTTTACTTTTGCTATAGACTTAAGAGCAGACGTCACAGCTCTTTGGATGTCAAGGAAAAAAATTCTTTGAGAGGAGTTTTTGTTTTTAGAAGAGAAAGCACATATATAGAGAAAACGATGAGTTGATAGAGTACACATCACACATTTGCTTTTGGATAAAAATTACTGTACGCGTACTGTACGTCTCACATTGCTCTATACAGTCCGAATAAAGTTTTAATCGCTTAAATAATATAAAAGAGCATGTTAAGAGTCACGTGCTTAATTAGAAGTTTTAATTCATAGTCTTCGTCTGCAAATAAATAATATTTCAAAATGCATTGTGGCATTGATATCTATCAGTTTTACAGGATGTATTGTTATATACGAGGGCTATCCAGAAAGTAGATTACGTTTTGGAATAAAAAAATAAACAAAGTATAGGAAACAAATTTTATTATATACAGATGAAAGCCACACTCAAATACTACTTTTCTACATAGTCACCATACAAATTAAGGCATTTATCGTAGCGATGTACGAGCTTGGAAATTCCTTCGTCGAAAAATTCGGCCGCCTGCGCCTTCAACCACTTCGTTACCTCTTCTTGCAGCTGTGCGTCGTCATCAAAACGCTGCATAGCCAGCCACTTCTTCATTGCTGGGAATAGGTGGAAGTCGCTCGGTGCCAGGTCGGGACTGTACGGCGGATGAGGAAACAACTCCCACTTAAAAGATTCAAGAACTTTACGAGTGACATTTGCCGTGTGGGGCCGGGCGTTGTCGTGAATCAACAAGATCTTAGAGCTCAACATTCCTCTGCGCTTGTTTTGAATTGCTCTTCTGAGTTTTTGGAGAGTTTGGCAATACCTTTGAGAGTTTATTGTAGTGCCTCTTTCCAGGAAGTCCACCAAAATTACACCTTTTCTGTCCCAAAAAACAGTCGCCATCATCTTCCTTGCCGACATTGTTTGCATGCATTTCTTGGGTTTTTGGGGAGAACTTGTGTGCCCCCACTGCATTGATTGCAATTTCGTTTCACAGTTCACATGTTTCACCCATGTTTCGTCACCAGTAACGATGCGATCGAGTAAAGAGTCACCATCCTTATGGTAAGCGTCCAAAAAGTTCAACGCTGCAGCCATTCGCTGATTTTTGTGGTCCTCTGTCAAGATTTTTGGAATCCATCTTGCACAAAACTTGTGGTAACCAAGCTTTTCGCTGATGATTTCGTGCAACAAACTTCGCGAAATTTGTGGAAAACTCAAAGAAAGTTCCGTTATTGTGAAATTTCGATTTTCACGGACTTTAGCATCGACTTTTTCGAGAAGTTCGGCGGTCACTATGCTGGGTCTCCCACTTCGATCTTCGTCGTGAACATTGGTTCGGCCATTTTGAAATCTTATGACCCACTGACGCACTCCACCTTCAGTGATAATGTTGTCCCCATACACTTCACGAAGCTGCCGATAGATTTATATCGGTTTACAGTTTTTTGCAGTCAGAAACCTTATTACTGAGCGCACCTCGCAGCTCGCGGGATTTTCAATTAACGCAGACATTTCAAACCGTCACAGTATCTGAACGGAGCACAGCACGAACCTCTCACTAGCACGGCTAGATGCAGACTGAGCTGCGCAACGCGGACACAGACGGAAACGTAATCTACTTCCTGGATGGCCCTCGTACAACGTATACAGAAGGTGCTCTAAAAGATCACTACATATTTTATATCCTCAAATACTAACATACATTTCCCGTTACAAAAATATTTCTGAAAACTAGTGATGTATTTCATTAGACAGTTTTCAGTAGAGGGAACGGTTTTATAAAAGCACTGTTTTACCTTACAGAAAAAAGTACCATATAGTATACAGAAAAAAGTACCATATAGTAAGAGTTTCGTTATGTGTCAGTAAGTTAAAAAAAATTGTCGGCTTTAACCGCAAACTTCAGTGAAGTATAAGTAGATAGTGGCTTCTGAGGTTATTTTAAAGACTTAAAATTAGAGCTATATTTCCAAATGCGAAACAGTTTACACCGTGACCTACTAAGCCTCAGATTTACTATTGGTCTCGAAACGCACTCATTGTCCGTATCACTTTTGCGCCAGATTTCCGAAGTTCGGAGAATTACACAAAATTGACATTGCTTTTGTACATTATTACTGACTATGTACACCTCTCAAAAGTTAAATAATATTTGTAATTAGCTCTGCATCCAATGAGTAATGGCCCTCAAGAAATTAAAATAAATTACAGGGATAAGTTTCATAAAAATTAGTTGTGAACAATGAGATATGAGTATTAAATGTCAGCAAATATTCATTCTTAATACATTTAACATTTCTTGATTTGAAGATAACAAAAGAAGAAAATGAAAGGAATAAAAATTAAATTCGCATAATTTTACCTTCTCGAATTTCGTGTGATAAAATTAACAAAGAAAGAGAGAAAAATCCCCGAATAAATATGGTGGGAGTTAAAGCTTTTCACTTCCACTCAATGAAATTAAAATAAAACATTCCTGACCATTTAGATATATTACTGAGAAGCAGCAAAGGGAAATAAATCATACAGCCTTTCAAAGCTAGAAAGTGACATGACACTTTTAATCCGAGCTGCATAAATTCTTATACGTAATAAGACATTATAATAAAAGTTCTACCCAGTTGTAATTAAATTAGAAAAATTTACATTTTAAAATGACAGCCTTTAAAGATGCCATATTAGGCATACGATAGAAGATGCATCTCGTCAAAAACCAAAACCAACATTTAATTAACTTTCCAAATTACTCACTGAATTATATAAAGTAAATATTGCAACTAAAACAAAAATCATAATGTTTTACATTACATTCATAAAAATATATATTTAAAAGTAATTATCCAGCAACAATAAACGTTCACTTACCTCTCCGTTTAAGTAGCAAAAGATGAGAGAAACAAGTAGGCCCTGAAAAGAAAATTGTTTTTAATATTACAGAAATAAGGGAAAGTTTTATACATTGAAATTATACCATTGGAACAAAAACTTGAATGCAGCAGAAAAATGCATTATTTATAATTTATTTACCTAAGATATTTTAGATTACTCGATTTAAAACTACATCTATAAATAGCATGCAAAATTCGCTAAAGCATCTTTAATAAACTGAGAACGTATAAGTGGCCACGTGAAAAAGACAGAAATGCGATCTTTAATTAAAATAAAAGCTTTTAGTTGATGAAGAAACATGAGGCAATCTTCTTAATCAGGCAAACAAATTACAATTCCAGACCGTACATGAGCACTGTGGAGTGAAATTAGAAATAGTTTGCATGTTGACGAGGTTAAAATACTATTCCATCTTTTCTGTCATTTACCGATGTAAATCTTAAGACATTTAATGTTTTCTTTTTCTCCGTATAGTTAAGTTATTCTTCGGCTCCATTTCTTACTTTATTTAACTGAGAAATGACAGTTCCAATTAGAAAACTTTCCAAAGCAATTCCAAAGCAACACGGACTTTAAAAACAACAGATTGAGCAACAATCTGTTGCTTTTAAAGTCCGTGTGTCATAAATACAGTTTCTTACATTTTTCTCTATCCAATACATCCATCAGTTAATCTTTATGGGAATTCAAGATGTATATAAGCAGACGTATTTCAGATAATGCGTCTTCTTTTATACCATTAGGAGAATTATATCAATAATTAGAAAGCAAATACTTTTATCTACTATATAGCATATTCTGAATGATTATGTACAGCACATCTTAAGCTATGGTGACATATATAATTCCTTAATGATGAAAACTGATCACTGATAACTGACGGACATCGCTTGCTGCAATGGCTTTAAAAGAAAGCTGTTGCGCCAAGCCGTGTCTATCATTATTCTCAAGTGCTTCAATATACGTGTTTCATATTACGATGGATGTTTTAGTAAGTCAAACAAAAGTGATATATTTCAAAAAATAATATAAGCGCAAAAATAAATCACGCTGAAAACAAAATAATAAATAAATAAATCGCGCTGAAACAAAAATTTAACAATAAGCGGAAAACATGAATGATTCTAACTCTAATTATGATTAAATGGACGATCTCTTCTGAAGATCACACGCAAAATGGGAATTATGTAAAATATATAAATCTGTTTTATAATAGACCATATATACTTAGAAAGATTTTAATTTAAGCCAGCGGTTCTCAAACGTTTTGACTCTCGCATCCCTTTTAACAATCATTTCTACAGCATAGCTTCTTTACGTCTATTTTATGTCTTACCAGTTAATGATGTTTAGAAGTAGAGTAGGGAGAAGAAGAGGGGATAGATAGTAAAGGAATGTATGATAGTAAAGCTATCTAAACAACAGTATCAACATCCATGCAATGAAACGTTTTTTGAAAGTTTGAAATTTTCAATAATATCTCGATGTACTCTCAACTACCAACCAATGACGTGGTTTGGCCAAAACGCTGTGTCGATCAGAACAAAACAAACAAACAAACAAAAAGTCAGAATTCAGTAAATAAAACCACTTGCGTTTCAACGAATTATTAGTGACACTAACAATAAAAATTTCCATGCATTAAATACAGGTCTTTCGGTTTGATCATTACATCCAATTCACATAAAATATATGTGAAATGACTATTTGTTTATCGTTGTTTTTTATTATACCTTTCAAAAAACAATTTTAATTAAAATTTAGTAACTGGAGTGCATTCCAGCAAAAGTAGGCTTAAATATAGGATGTAAGGTAAAATAACATAAAAGCGTTTAACGAGACACGTGTTTTTGCAATTTTGAGCATGTGTTTCTAATTTCAATTTCAACTGATGATTAAGTGCAGTTCTGTATTTAAGCAACTTCTGTATTTGGTTTTAGTATTTGTATAAAGGGATAATTCCGCTTAACAGAGATATCTATTTAACGTCGGTAACAATACTAATTTTATTTTCTCAGTGAAGACGTTGACTTCATCTTGTTTACGTAACCAAAGCACCGGCAGATTTTGGTTTTGAAACACAATTTTTAGTTCGCTGTGAAACGTCTAGTCTATTAAGACCTCGTACACTGAACGCACTGTACGCTGAAATTAAGTTGGTTGGTTTTTTGTTCATACTGAACGCATACAGAATCTATTTAAAAGCACCAGGCACTTTTTTGTGAGGAGTAAGTAATATTCAAATAAGTGTTTCAATGCTTCGAGGTGCTCGTGAACACGTCTCTGCTATTTTCCTTAATTTTGATTTTAATATCATTCAATATATGTTTTGTAAAGGAGAAGAAATCGATATCTGCCCTTTCCATGCAATGCCAACGAATACACAAGTTTCCTTTGAAGACAAAGACTTAAATATTTGCATTATAACTGTGTCATTTTTTCTTTATAATGATAAATTTATTTTGTACACTGCGAAAAAAAAAATAAAAACGGAGGACAGTTCTATAATTTCCGTTCTAGTGGGCCGATAGACAAAATGCAAATTGCGTTTTTCATGTCTTGAAAGCACGACGTAGGATATATATTAGATTTATATATAGCACTATTCTAACATAGGTATTTTGACACAAAATCGGACTTTTACTGAAATAACATACGAATATTTTTACATATTTCGATTCTACTACTCAAATTATGCCAGACTCCAAGTTTTTGTAAAAATCATACAAGTAGTTTTTAAAAAAATAGCTCTCAAAATTTTAGTTCCTCAGTGTTAATTGAATTTGGCATATATTTATTAATATCTCTTTTTTCATTAAACCTTTTTGATTTTTCCTTTCACATTTCGAAATTTAGGTTCATTTAGGTCCGCCGCGTAATCGAGAGGCCCAGATTCGAGTCTCAGCGAGTGCATTGCATATTTTCCATGTCTCCTGCTTCAAAACAATAACCTAAACTTAATGTCTCTACAGAGAAACCGAAACTTTTACTACAACTGATATAATTAACCGCAACTGGCACGATTAACTCCTAAAGTTTAGGATTGCAGTTATTTATGATGTACAAAAATGTTTTTCAGTTTAAGTGAGATTAAAACCGACTGCCGTTGATACTAGGTGATACGAATAAAATATGCTCACTAGATAATATATACATGAAAAACAAATTTATTATAATCTTACGAGAAAGAAATTACAAGATTTATTTTATCTGCTAGAAGATTATTTCCAAAAAGCATTTGTAAGGCATAAAGTTTAATAATTTACATCAATACCGAATTACTTAATCCCGAAGTCATTCAAACAATATTCTTATTTATTAAGGACATTAGTCTGGTATGCAATAAGAACATAGTTAAAAATTTCAAACTTTAACAACAGAAACATAATATGCACAGAAAAAGTTAATTCTTTTTTTTTTGCGTACCGATTTTCTGCCATTTGTATTATACAACACAAAAAAGTCAATAACAGCATTAATGGGAAAGCATTTAATAATATAAAGTAGCTATACTTTATTCAAAATGAACAGAAAAGTAAAAACATTAAATACTGAGGATTCATCAAAGAGCTGTTTCATTTGTTAATGATTTTCTGGCCAGATCCCCAGTCATTAAATTTTAAGACATATTAGTACTTCTTTTGAATAAAACAATACTAATGATTACTTTCATTTTTTTACTGGCATCAAGTTTTTTCTTACAGAAACTAAATAACAAAGATTATGATTTTGCTGAGCAACAACAAAGGAAAAAGTATAATGCAGTTAATTACATATTAAACAAATGAAAACTGTGCTCACTAAGAGATACCACACACAAATCCTCTTTATTTAATATTTTATGTATATGTATAAATTAAGACTTTTTCTGTTTTCTTTTTTTCCAAACTGACTTTAAATTTTTAAGCTCAGTATGAAATAATATTGCTCACAGTTTATATTTAGATAGATCATAATCTTGTTGAATTACATTTTAAAAAATTCTTTTGTTTAAATTAAAAAATTTCTTTCAATTTAATTTTAATTTAGGGGCCATACAACGTCTGCGCTGAAATTACTAGTTACCTAGAATTTTAATTGGTTTTCTAAGAGAACTCATGATTTTCAGAAATGTTGTACTGGTTTCACACTATTGACATAGAATATCATTTTTATGTGTTTGGTCATCCACTTAAACACGAATGGAAACATAGCAAATAAATTCCATTCTAAGATTTGTAATCTAGTAGCTAGTAGTTTTTGATATTTTATTCAACTTTTCACTTTGGTATTTGCATTTATTTTATAAATCATATTTAGTTTTTTTTTTTACATTTAATCATGTTTTTCTTATTGATTCCTTATTCATTGATGTGTGCATTTATTAGTGCTCATTGTTTTTGGAAGTTTTGAAATTTTAAAAGCATTTTTGTAATAAATTTCTGTTTGTCATTTAATTAAAGTTTCATTTGCGTTTAGTTACAAATTTTAGGAATGACTAAATAAGATTTTACCTCGGTAATGAAATTAACTTTAATTTATCTTTCTCTCTCTCTGCATATATATACACATACTATTACTTTTATTCATTTCATGTTCAGTAATATATCATGTAGGTTTTACCCGAATTTGTAAATTTTTGAATGCTGTACGGACTTTCGTGGTAGTAGAAAAATATAAATCTTAGCTCTGAAGAAGACCACAATAAAATTTTTAGACGTTGATGCATGTTGTTACCTGACGGCTCTTATATGTATCTATATGCCAATTTTAGTAAGACAGGTTGTACGTTTTAAATCCGGTACTATGAAGGTTTTAAATTGCGAAAATGGGGAAAAACTGAAATCAATCGTCAAAATAACTTCCTGCACTTATAAAAATTTGCCTTACCTGTACATCTACCAGATTATCTTACACGAATATTGCTATGATATCAAAAGTAGAGTAAAGGTTAAAATAGGGAGTTATTAATGTTTAAAACAAGGTTTTTATTGTATCATACAAAGCATCATTATACAAAATTTAAACTCAAAAGGAAT